ATGTAATTAGCATAATCATATAAACAAATACAAAACATGAAACTTTGAAAATTATCTTCTAAATTGGATAAGCATGATTATTACCACATTAAAAACAGATTTATAAGTCCAAAAAACAGTTTAGGGTAATGATCCTAGTCCAATTCCAGCCTTAAAAGTCAAAAAACTACACTCTGGAGCACCAACTCGTCGAGTGCAAGAACAAACTCGGTGAGTTGGTTGCATTTGTGCTTGGACTCGGCAAGTCCACCAGTGGACTCGGCGAGTCCACTGTCCAGACAGCCAAAAATCGATTTTTAAAGCATAAACAACAAGTAGCATCAAGTATAATTGAAAACAACCCTAGGCTCTAATACCACTGTTGGGTTTTGAGCACTATAAACTTCCTAAGTGCACATGCAACCCTAAATGCTTTGGATCTATGTTTTCTCTAATTATACATGCTTTATCATTTTTCCAAAGCATTGTCCTAACTAGCATATAAATTGTCAAATGAACAATACAACTAGTTAGATGACTTACCTCTTAGAAGGACTTGTAGTTCTTGACCTTTGAAAGCTTGAGCACCTCAAGTATGATGCCTCTAATGGTTCACAAACACCATATGCAAGAGGATGGATTAAGAGAATAATCGGTTTATCTCATAGAGAAGAGGCAACCGATTTTGGTCTATGGAGGGTTCTATTTATAGTGTTGGACATGATAGGGTTACACTTGGTAAACCCTAATAACCCATGACTTTCCACATTCTCATGCTCCATGGGTTTAACCTCCATGGACTATCCATGGATTAGTTTAGCCCATAATCATGGATTATAAGCCCACACTACAAGAATGATTGATTTACATAATCAATCCTCATATATTTAATTAGTCTCTTTTGATCACAAAATTAATAAATTAATTCTTGATCAATACTAATTAAATAATTCCATATTAATATATTATACTTGTAATATATTAATAAACCATAAATAACCTTATTCTCAATAATCCATCCTATCAAGTTGCACTGGTGAAGGCAACCCAAAAGGACCATGCTACAATCGGGTCAAGTACATACCAGTTATAGTTATAGGCTTAGACACCAAATCCAACAAATACAAATACAAATGTAATAGTAAAGCGAATTGTGTCTGTAGTGTGTGAATTACAGGTGTATTTATAGTCTAGACTAAGCAACAATAAGTCTGATATTTCCATAATGCTCTTGAATGAGTATTTGCATGTTGTTTGACTTGGTATTCCCAAGTCTTTAGTTTGGTTGAAGCGATTCTTCGTTGAGAATGAGTCTTATGTTGACAATTTCTACAAATGTGAGAAAAAGAAATAGAAATATATCCGTTAAAAGTGTTAGGAAATAAACGAAAATGATCAGGATCATGAGGTATGTTTAAGGATCATGAGGCTTCATTAACATCAAGGATCCTGAATATGGTTCTAAGATCCTGCCCCTAACACTTATACTAATAAAAGAATAGTTTATTCTTATTTTGTCATGTGTCACTTTAATACACATCCTAATTAATATTATGTCATGTGTCACTTTATTACTTTTCAATTTTAAATTTGCCCCCAATAAATCAACAATAAATGAGGCTCAAGAAATCAGGATATAATCCCATAAAATCAACATTCCGTTTTCAAAATGCTATAAATAAACAACTATCGAAAATCGAATCAAGTTAGATACTTTAAATGATTAGATATACAAATTATTGAAAAAAATATTTGTTTGCATGATTAAAGATTGTTAGTCGTATACAGGGGCGGAACACGAACAATAGTATTAGGGGGGCCGAAACCAACATTTTAATGTATAAATGTCTAAACAAGTCTAATTTGATTAAAAGTTATGGCGTCAAAATGCAAACAAAATAGTTAATATATACTCTATAAAATATTCTTACATCGTTCGCTAAAGTGAGAACTCTTCAACCTTTTACGTTTTAAATTTTTATACAATTGTCACAAAACTAATCTATAAACAAGTTCCATTTAAAAGTATGAAAGTAACAAGTCGTTCAAAAACTAAGTGACAGGTTCACTAAAGTAGAGGTGTAACCGAACCGTATTTACTCAAACTCATCTAGATTAAATCATGCTCGTTGCTCGACTTAAAAAGGAAAACAAATTGGTTAATTAACTTCAGGTCGCTAAGCACCGTGAGATTGTAGAATACTTCAAAATTTACATATTATAAGATTAAAATCAAATGTTTTTTTGATATATATATTTTTTTTGGTTGCCAAAAAAATCCCTTATAGTACACTAAAAATGACTAATGAATGTCAATGGAAATCTTGTAAAGTAAAAATGAACAGTGAATTTCAATGAGAACTTGTCACATGATTTAAGAAATCGATTTGGTAACAAAGAAATGCTTGCTTAATTTATATATTATCACATTGTCTTAGTTTGTATATTAATAGAAATATGAACATCAAATTTTAAAAATGTATTTACATGACAATTGACATAAGGAAAAAAAAAATTAAATTAAAAAAGGGATAATGACTTAAAAGGGTAATATATTTTTCGATTTGTACACATTTGGTCATTGAGTTTTTTTTGCGTCCACATTTACCCCTTCTACTTGTTAAACTGTATACATTCAGTCCTTATGACCGGCTACTCCAGGTTACCCGGTAAAAATGACTTAATAGGGTAATATATTTCTCACTTTGTACACATTTAGTCCTTAATATTTTTGTACACATTTAGTCCTTTTTTTTTGCAAAATAAGTCATTTTTTTGTACTCATTCAGTACTTATGAATGATTTTTTAGTTTTTTCTCACGAAATCTTACATGGTACATTCATTAATGAGGTGTATGGGGCTTTTGATGCTTATATCCATCGTGATCTCGACTACTTGTGAAGAGTCCAGTTAATGGTTTGGTCTAGGCTTTCATTGTAATAGTTCCTTTTGAGTCTTTAGTGTGATTTTGTGGGTTGTTAGTGAGTTTACGACCCTGGAGTGAGTTTACGGCCGTAAGCCTGTTTATGGCCGTAAACCCTGTTTCCGGCCCAAGTCTACTATATATAGAGGAGTTGTAGGTCATTGTAAGGTTGTTGATGCCACAGAGTTCACGGTCTATTGTATCGAGTTGTACCAGACGTTTTACAGCAATAAACGTGTGCAAGATTGATTTCTCTTCTTCTTCTACTCATATTCTGATTAATCTTGATTGATTGATTGCTTGATCATTGGTAAAGATCCGTCTTAGGACCTTACAATTGGTATCAGAGCAAAACCGGTGTCAAAGTATCATTCAATCGAGTTTTCAGCCGTTTAAACTTATATTCTTCACTGTTCGAGATTGGTTTTAGTGTTTTCGTTGCTAAAGGGATTGAATCTACTCCAAAATCGCGTTTTCGAAGAAGTTCTGGGAGTTTACTGCCAAGAGATTACGGCCGTAAACCCAGTTTACGACCGTAAACTCAAGAACATTCATTAACCGTAAACAGTGTTCTTGGACCGTAAACATAGCATCTTCAATAACCGTAAACTAACCTTCAAAAACCGTAAACACTCTGACCGTAAACACCCTAACCGTAAACAATCCGACCGTAAACTCTGTTTACGGCCGTAAACACATTAACCGTAAACTCATTTCTGACATTATTTTGCTTTAATTTCTGATGGATTCTCAAAGTCAAACACATTTTCATGAACTGGATACTGTCATGGGTACAACCACACGTATTCCAAGACTGATGTCTGCAGATGGTTTTCCTGAATGGAAATACCGGATTTAAAAGTACATTAAAATGAAAGACTTCAAAGTTTGGAGAAGCATCATCAAGGGTCCTGTTCGAATTACTATGACAGTTGGAGGACAAGTGATTGACAAAGCAGTTGAGGACCATACAGATGAAGAATTTGAGAAAGTTGAAGAACAGGAAAGGGCTTTAGCCACTCTCACCATGGCATTATCTCCTGATATAGCTCAAGGTTTCAGAGAGTATACTTCAGCTAAAGATTTGTGGGAAGCTTTGATTAAGGTATATGAAGGAAATGAAGACATAAAGGAAAGCCGCCAGGACATGTTGCGACAGAAATTCAATATGTTCAACTACATTCCTGGAGAAACTCTGGAGGCACAGCTGCAGCGATTCACAACTCTCACTACTGATATGAACATATCTGGGATCTTCTTGACCAAGTCCGAGATAAACAAAAAGCTACTGAATGCTCTTCCAAGGTCTTGGGACATGAATGTTGCTGTGATTAAGAAGACCAAGGATCTGAATCGTCTTACTCTTGCTGAAACAATGGCGATCATCAAAGCTTGTGATATTGATGATAAACAGCGAGAGATTAACCATGTGAATTCGTATTCGACTGCAAATCTCGGGATTTCCTCTAACAATGCTCTTTCATCAATCATCTCTTCTCCAAGTCAAGGATTTGTTGTTCAACAACCTCAAATTCAAACCTTCACTACTGCGTCATCCATGCCTCGCTCTCAAAGCCAGTCATTCGTCACTCCACAAGCTGTTCTCTCATCCAATGTGCCAGTTGTAGCCTTTTCCTCAAACACAAAGGAAAGTGATGAAAATCTTGCTCTCGCTACAGGACTTGTTAACTGCTATAATGCCTTTGTAGCTGGAGAGCTTCCACCTCAGTTGTCATTTGCTGATCTGGATCAGATTCATCCAGAAGATGTGGAAGAGATGGATATCACGTGGCAAATTGCTATGGCAGTGTTCAGGGCGAAGCAGTTTGCTAAGAAGACAGGGAAAAATAACTGGGGGATGAATGCTGATAAAAAGGTAGGGTTCAACAAGGGAATGCTGCGATGTTTCAACTGTCACGAGTCGGGTCATTTTGCTCGTGAGTGCCCAAAACCGGATCGAAGGATGAACAATAACAGGACAATGGTTGCGGTGGGAAACAATCGTGGAGGTGCTGCGGTCAATGGTGAGATTGCTATGAATGCATGTATGTATGTTTTTTTTATAAAATCGTTCGTAAAAATATATTACATTTTAACGGGAGTAATCTTAATGAAAGTTGTAGTAGACTCAAAAAATGAACACGTGGATAAAGATCCTTAAAATCTGATATCGTATGAAGAAGTTACGATGTTCAAAATACAAGACCTAAGCCAAACCACAAGACTTACGCAACCAAGCAGTCGAGATCACATTGGACATAAGCATCTACAACCCCAAGCACCTTATCAATGATTGTCTCACGTAAGATGTCGTGAAAATAACCTAAAGAAATCATTCATAAGTACTGAATGAGTACAAAAAAATGACTTATTTTGAAACAAAAAAATGTTAAGGACTAAATATGTACAAAAATATTAAGGACTAAATGTGTACAAAATGAAAAATATATTACCCTATCAAGTCATTTTTCCCGGCTAACCTAGAGTAACAGGTCATAAGAACTGAATGTGTACAGTTTAACAAGTTTAAGGGGTAAATGTGGACGAAAAAAAAAAACTCAGTGACCAAATGTGTACAAATCGAATAATATGTTACCTTTTAAGTCATTATCCCTAAAAAAAATTAGAGATAAAGAAAGGGTGTGTCGTGTAAATCCTACATCGATGGTTACATAAATAAAAGAATAAATATGTAGCCTTAAAAAGAAGGAAATGGGTAGTGGATCATACCTATAATATTTAAGTGAAATATATAAATAATTTTTTAGTTTCATAAGATGTGAGCCTTAGTTTTGCTTTAAGATATATGTTTAGAGTCACTACTCTGTTACTAGTTAGAAAAGCAGGCCCTTGGTATCTTGATGGATGTATTTTTAGTTATTTAATATATTTGCTTTAGAATTTTTTTAGTTGTTATTTTCTAGGCAAAATGATTAATCTTTCGTTTTGTTTATTTTTAGGTAATTTTTTATGGTAACATGTAAACACATCTAACAAGTTAAATAGTCAAATGTATAAAAAAAATTAGCTAAATGTGAACAACTTTTTTTACAAATTTGTTAAAACTTTTTATAATTTATTACAACATTTTTAAGATATATTTTTTCTTATAGGTTTTTCTAATATATTGTTTTAAATTTCGTTTGTAATTTTTTGAACTTATTTTTTTAATGTTTCATATAATTTTCATTCAACCATTTTAAACCAAGTATTTTCTAAATGTTTTAAACTTTTCTTACATGTTTTTATTTTTTTATACATTTTCATACAATTTTTTTTATAACAGTCATTCAACTCTTTCTAAACTTTCTTTTACAACATTTTTAAAACGCTTCATACATTTTGTATAACAATTTAATATATTTTATAACATTTTAAAGTACTTTCGTTAAATACAAATTTAGAACGTTCTATTAAAAAAATTTTAATTTTTATAAACTTCTAATCAAAAACATATAAAAAATTGTAATAATTTTAAAACATTTACATTGTAATTTTTGTTTTGTTTTTTTATTTGCTACATAATATTTTCTTTTTATTTTTTTAAAAGACCTTACGTACTTATAGTTACATATTTAATTTATTTAATTTCATTGTTAGATGCTATTTACTTTAAAATATTGCATATGCTTAAAACCAAAAGATATATATATATATATATATATATATATATATATATATATATAATATATATTATATATATATATATATCGGGCTAGTTTATTATGTGGATGGACAACTATTGTACGGCTGTGTGGACAATTTTATTCTATGAGAATTACTAAAAGAATAAGTTGTTTAGTAATATGAATACGTTCAACCTCACATAATTATTTTCATTTCACTTCATTCTCACTAATTCTTATTCATTTTTGTTCTCATTCATCGTTTTTCACTCATTTTCATTTTTACAGAATACGACTCAATAAATATCCTGACAACATTATGACAGAATGTTAATAATAATAATAATAAAATCTATAATAACCTTATAGACGATTTAATTTGTGAGAATGCGTGATAATGACAATAGTTATGTAAGATTGAATGTATTCACATTATCAAACAACAAATTTTCTTTGGCATTCTCACAGAATAACACTGTCCACACGTCCGCACAATAGATGTCAATCCACATTTGAACCTAGCTCTCTTTCTCTCTCTCTCTCTCTTTCTCTCTCTCTCTCTCTCTCTCTATATATATATATATATATATATATATATATATATATATATATATATCATAAAAATAAAAATATATTTATTAATTAAAAAGAAAAGTTTAGAATTGATTAATGATTACTTGATGTTTATGATAGTAACATTTTTGACACAAATGGCGCAACAAGGTCGAAGGTCATTATTAAACGAACACCAAAAGTTAGAATTCCTGGGGACATGGTGTTAAAAAGAATATGAATGCAAAAGTTAGATTTCTTTTATGTATGGGTGCTAAAAAATCTAAAACAGAAAATTCGTTAAATCATACGGATTTATGGAAAGAAATTTGGTAAAGGGTAAACCAATAATACGAAAATTTTGAAGATATTCATTTTATATTTATATTGTCAAAGCTCACTACCGATTCTAACCCACTAAGATTAGCCCACATCAATTTTGAGATATTAAATTTACAGAATTTATTATCAGTTAAAGTTTTATATAATGTCGGAAGTTTGTTGAAGCATAACGTTTTTTTGGATTTAGTTTTTTACTTTTGTTGTATTCATATTCAAAAACAAAATCAGAAACCATCATACAATAATCAAAGTAAATAGTATATAACATGATAAATGTGAACTTGTAAAGTACCACATTCATTAATGAGACTCTTTTGCTTACAAGTACACCTGATCTATCAACATATAACCCTTAAATGCAAATTTCTACAGATGGGTATTGTACAAAGACCTTAAATAGTTAAATAGCAATAATACTCTGATTCTGATATAACTTTCTATATATAGTAAGGAAGTACCTCATACAATCACACATGTCTAACAGCGCAACCCTAGGGTTTCCCGATTTCCAAGTGGCAACTGGCAAACACCTTGGGTGGTCTAGGGTTCATGTGGCCCGCCCAAACCTATTGCCTAACTGCATATGGAGCCACTCGGGTTCGGACCTTGGTCCGAACCCTCTTGCTGCTTGTGAGCCAAATAGTAGCCTTGCTGCATCGATAGGTGGTGTCACAAGCTGCAATACAATATTCTTATAGTCATTATTGCCCATTGAATAATCAAAAGAATTAGATAATCATAATCATCTTTATCCAAATCGTTAAAACAATGTTTAAAAATTACATCTTTCGTGGGAAACCCTTCTACCGAGGAATTCATCCTTGTATTTACAGCTTCAAGCTTCATAGATAAAAACTACAATAATAATAAAAAATAAATGCTAAGATCTCAAATTCATTTGTAACTAACATAAAGACTTCCAATAACTTACAATGACAACAATAACCAAAATGTAGGGTCTCATTCAATAAAATGACAACTTTTTACCTTTTTAACAAATGACAATTTATTTCGCAATGGATCAATTTCGAAATTACTTTTTACTGGCAAAAAGACTGCAAAAAAACTTAATAATTCTTTTACAATATGATATGGACATATGGTCTTTCGTTTTTTCCAAATTTCTTTTATTTATTTATTTATTTTATTTTTTTGTGATGGGACCATTTATAAAGCAATTTGTCAATTTGCAATTAAGTAACCTTTTTGCGAAATTGATGATTTGAAGCGTAAACGATATCACTTTGTTAAATGGACCAATATCGGTTTTGGTTATTTTTGTGTTATCATGTAAATAAATTACCTCAACTTGATGTTGCAATGATTGGATGTAATTGATTATTTCATCAAGAACAAGAGCTTTTCCTATAACCTGATAAACAATATCAAAATCAATCATCTTTACTACAAAGATCAAGAAATCATAGTCTTGATTATTGTATACAAACCTTGTTACATCCGGGGACCAAATCTTGAAGGATTTTCATTCTTTCACTTATCTTTTCTCTCCTAGCCTGAAAACAATGAGTTTAAATCATCAAATAACTGTCTGGGAATTGAGGTGGGGAGTGAGAATGGAATTACTCTTTCTGCAAGACTGTGGCTATCGGTGGCTTGACCTCTTCTTGCTCTAACATGAATGTAATCTTTAGGTGGTTCGGTAAGGTTATGGCTTTGACTGGCAGTTGACCCTGAATTACCTTTTTGTTCTATCTTCGAACCACACAAATCATCTTTGGATCCCGATATCTTCATTCGTTTACCATGAAATTTGCTCTGCAAACATAAAAAGTTCGATTTCATGGCTCAGAAATGAAAATTGAGAAAAAAGGGCTCAAATAATTGAACTAAAAGAGCTCCAATTTCAATTTCAAACTTAATTCCCAATAAATTTGTTTGAAATTACCAAATCATTGCCACTACTAGTAGACGTGATCTTTGAAGATTCATCTTCAAAATAAACATCCATCCGCTTCCTGCCACCACCACCACCACCGCTATGCTCCGTCACTGTGGATTCGTCGTCGCGGTTATAATTCGGTTCCCCAAGTCGACTAATCAGGGTGCTCATTTTGAGCCCTAAGCTCTCATTTCGACCGCCATTAACAGAAGAAAAGGGCCAGATCCCAGTTAAACTGTAAGACGAAGGATTGGCCACTGAAAAGGAGCTCTCATTGATAATGGGTGGATCCATAAAGATGAGAGATACAATGTATGTGTATATAGAAAAAGAAATGTATATATGAAGTGAGGGAATTAATTGAGCGTTAGGTTGCAGACTAAAGATGGAAATTTTAATATGGGTTTTGACTGTGGTGATCTGGGTTGATTCCGAAAGTTCCTGTTTCTTTGTAGTAAAATCGGCTATTTAATAATCGGATTTTTCACACCCATCTGTATAATATATACTTATATACAGACATATTATTAAATGTACATACGCATATACAGAGAGAGAGAGAGAGAGAGAGAGAGAGAGAGAGAGAGAGAGCATATATGAACAGAGTGACTAGTGATGGATGTGCGATTTTGGGAGATGACGGAGTGCAATGTGCCCACGGCGCATTTTAAGCAAGCTCAATCGAACGCCTAATTATAAAAAAGTGAACTAAAGTGGGACATGGCATATAGAAGGTATAATGACTTATGAGCGAACCCAATTTTATAATAGTAGATGAATAGTATATTTTTATTTTTATTTTTTTGAACGGCGGAATTTTATTAAACTAGCAAGAACCTAGAACAAACAATTACACGGTAATAGAAGAGGGATTATGAAGCCAAATAGACCATCCTAACTTAGCTTTTTTACATCTATTTGAAATCCAAAAGAAAGCCTTTTCAACTACGTCATCAAAGAGCAAAGCTTTTTAGGAATAACCGTGCCGAAAATGATGGCATTTCTGAAATTCCAAATACACCAAAATGTTGTTATAACCACTGCATAAAAAAATTTTACGTTGACTAGCCCTCAACGTCAATATATCGGACCAAGAGAGAAGAGAAGGAATAGTAATCTGATTCGGGAGATTTAGACCCCACCATATAGCAATACGTCTCCAAATATCCATTAAATCAAAACATCCAGCAAAAAGATGATGAATAGTCTCCGCCGAACAGGAACAAATAGGACACATGATCGTCTCTACCAGAATACCTCTAGATGAAAGTCTCTCCCTCGTAGGAGTGCTCTGAAGCTTCACCCTCCATATAAGAATATAGAGTTTAATAGGAACCCAATTATTCCATCTCGTAGTCATATCTGTCGAAGTAATCAGCCCATTGTCGAGAAAGGAACGAGCTGAAGAAACTGAAAAAATATCAGAGATATCAAGAGACCATCCCAATCTATCTGGAACAGTTTGAAGCCGTACATCCTGCATTAGTCTGGAAAAGATAGTCCATTGGGTCTCCTCGACACCACCTCTAGGAATTTGTCCGAAATGGCACATATCCCACCCAATATTATTTTCATTGAATATATTTAATCAACAAGTTTATATAAAGTGTTCAGAAAAAAAAATTTATGATCGACGAACGGAGACTTTTTGGCTTCTCGTGATTTTTGTGTGTGCCATTAACCTATAAATTTATATAAAGTATTAAAAGAATATTATGATCAGTAATTAAATTTTCTGTCTATCAATAAACTTGGGACGTAACCAACTTTTATAACTATACGTATTTTTTTTTAATACAATTTGGCCATTAAACTTAGGGTTAAAACTAATTAGCCAATGAACTATTTCAAATATCTCTAAAACATACATTACACACTTTATTATATCAAGAGGTAACCAAGCATGATGGTTTGTCGATCTTTGTGACCTTGATTGTTATAAAATGTGAAATTTAGTACTTAAGACCTTGATTGTTATGAAAAGTTAAAAGTTGGTTAAATTTTGATTATACACAATTATTCGGGGAGTAAATTGAATTAAAAGTCGACCCTTGAAAAAAATTCTTGGATTCGTGCAAGTTAGTGGCCAATTTGTAAAAATGGAAACTTATAAGATGGAATCCATATTAGGGTTTATGTTTAGTTGTTTGGGTTGATCTAAGTATTGATCATATGTAAGTGGTGGGTTTATTTGATATCATGCCTATCTAACTGTTGGGATTATTTAAGTGTTTAGTCTATCTAAATGTTCTACTTATACAGGTAACATCATATTCTTATACGTGTTTGATTTGGGATTTGAAGGGTTTCAATAGAAATTCACTAGTTGACTATTATAAATGAAATTGTATGCATATGTTTGTGCCTTTGTGGTGTTAAGGTGTTATAACATAGATTCTAATATCTTATTTCCATTCAAAATGAGTTGGAGTTAAAAGCAGGTGGTGAAGGGTAGAACTGATGGTTGTATTTAAATAAATGTATTTTGGTTTACATTTTATTTTATTAAATTAAAACCATTCAAATAAAAAGAAAAAATAAATTACAAAGGGTAAGAATATCATATTACATGGGCTAGAGACCAAAACTACAACAACCGTCAAACTTAGGGACTAGATTGTGAAAAAAATATTTGGGCTGAAAGCCTGAAACGAAGATGTTTTAAATATTTGACAAAATTATCAGACATTTAAATATTCATCATACAATTTACAGAAGCATGCATTTTATACTTTAGTTCTTTTTAAAAATAAACTTATACTGCATTTTCTCTACAAATCATACATGATGATAAAATGATACGATATTATATTATTGAGTAAAAATAACAGTCAATTTGCATATGACGTTCACATTTTTAAGTTTAAGACTCTGATTAATAGCATTGACATCGTTTGTATATGTTTACACCATTTGTAGTTCTTTGGATAAATCGTTTTTGACAACATGTATAAACAAACAAAATAAAAATACAAATAAGAAACAATGTAAGAGAAATAAAAACGTAAAAAATGAAACATCATATTCATCAACTATTCATGATTCACTATTATTTGTTAATACAAAATACAAATACAATAAATGAATCACAACAAATCAGTTTAAAGTAATATATAGAAAAAAGGTACGATTGGTACAAGTAATGAAAAAGGACCCTAAAATACCAAATTGGTTAGTAGTTTGGAGAAGTTTCAGAAACCTAAGTACCGAAATGAAAGATGATAAGATGAGGACCATTATTTGCCTAACTTTCCAATCTCACCCTTATCAATTCAAGTCGAGCAAATGAGGCCATTGTAAAGTCCAAACTCAATCATGCCCAAAATGGTAATTCTCGAATCTAATGCCTCTCATTGCCTATCTTATTCATTGATGTGTGTTTTGATGAAATGGGGAACAATTAAAACAATGACACCCTCCTAATTTTCATCTAACCTCGCCTTTCTTATTTGGTCATCTCATGTGATCTATCTTTTGTGCATTTATTTATTTATTTATTTATTTTAATTTATTAAACAACAGTTCACCTCAACCTCAAGGTTGAAAACTATAAGATTTGAACATAAGTGTTTCATATAAGTGATCATTGCTATGCCACACTGATAGTAAGCTTCGACTTCAACTCATTTCAACCCAATCAAGGAGATTCATGTGTTTTATCTTTCTTGAAGACGTTTTGTGTGATTTGAGTGGACTTCCAATGAAAATAGTGAAAAGGGATTAAAAAAAGATTCCATTGGGTTCCAATGAAAAGGAAGATGACTTGAATTAACACCCGCACAATGTGACACTACGACTCTTGTGAAATCATGATCGTTTGACTTGTCCCACATGTTATAGTTCATCGTAGTTCGTACTATGACAACTAGTATAACACTACAACCGAAGTTGTCATCTCACATTGGTCCCAAAGACCCAATGGCCAATGTGTTAGTTTATAAGAAAGTTGCACAAGTTAATAAACATAAAAATAATATTAGTTGTCACGCAAATCTACAACTTTTCTAACTCGTAAAATTAGAATAACCATAAAATTGGGGGTTGACTAAAAAGACACCCATTTTTACCATTTAGACAACCCTAATTAATTTTGAAGTATTTTTATTGGTTGAAATTGCATTGTTTTCCGAAAAAACTGATTACAAATAGTTTATTATAGGTTGACTTTTTATAAAAATGATGAGAGGGTGTCTAAGGGGTGTCTTATTAGCAGCACCTTAAAATTGTATTGTGATTTTCATCCTATTAGTCTATAGCTACATTGAAAGGACTAAATATTTTAGGTCTATTTATTTTGCGGCACATTATAATCTTTTATCACTACCACTTTTTATAAAATAATTAAACGGAAACAAACCTTCAATCTTTAACAAGAAGCAAATAATAAGTAGCGTCAAAAATCCCGAAGAACTTAAACTTGAATCCAATATTAGAAATAGAAACCGGCGCTGGTAAAACTGAATCATTAAAGCCTTCATTATTTTCTCATTCATTACAAGTTTTTGTAGCTCAATTGTTTAGCATGTTTGGTTTTTGTCACAAAAGGTTATCTTGACTCTTGAGCACCGACCATGAGAGCGTAGTGATTGAGGAGTGAAACTCCACACAGGAGGTCCAAAGTTTAAATTCTGATACCGAAATATTGTTAATGTTCATAAGGTTGTTTACTATTTGGATAAACTGAATTATGCAATTCGACAATTTGAATTATACTATTTGGTTTTGATATTAAAAATTTTGGATTGGTTTTCAATAAACACGAATTATTATTTTGGATGTCGGATTGGTTTTGGTTTATAAAATAAGAACCGAATAATCTACAAAATCGAATAACAGTTTGTTATTCTTTTAGTTTTAATATATATCTTTAATCATTTACAATTATTTATATTATATACTAGATAGTTTCATCCAACATAATACATTATCATGTACTTCTACTAAAAAGTTCTTTTTTTGTTTGAAATATTGAATTATAATACATTTTCTTAGTAGTTGTTTATAAACTTTAATTCGCAAATAAATAATTTTTGTTAATTTCTTTTATAGAGTTTATTAATATTCAAGTAATATATATTCTAAAATGTCTTCACTCTTGAAAATCGAATTGCAAAAATCGATCCAACCGTATAGTTATGTGGTTGGATCGGATCAGAGTTGAATTTAGTTTGGACTATTCATATCCATTTTTGAAAATCGAAATCAATTTGGATTCACTTGATTGGATCGGATCGATTTGATCTATCCAATCGAACACCAATGTTCGTGATTAATCTCCCACGTATGCCTTGAGACGGGTTGGTATGGTTTTACCATTTTTTTTCTCATTCAAATCAAAATTCAAATCAACCTTGAGGAGAATTTTAGAAAGGTATGGTTATACCATTTTTTAATCAACCTTGAGGAGAATTCTCTACATACTAGTCCGTAGGACATTTAATATTTTAACAAATGTTATTTGTGAGGACATTTAATATTTTAACAATAATCTATATCCCGTAGGAAATACAATAGAGGGCGAATAAGTTTAAAAAGTTTTTGATTTTAATTAGG